GCGCGCCGGCTAAGGGCGGGGGCAGCGTCCCGAAGCCGAGTTCTGCGGGGAAGCACCCTCGCAGCCGGCTCCGCCACTACAGGGTGAGAGCTCGGAGCCTCTGGCCGCGAGGCCAAGCAGCGTGCACACAGCTCCCTCCGTGCGGCGCCGCGGCTTCAGAGTAAACTTTGGGTCCCAGCGGAGTTGAGAGTAGGGAGCTACCGAACCGGGCTGCCGCTGGCGAAGCCAAGGGCTCTGGCTCCCGCAGGGTCTCAGCGGCCGTCTTGCACGCTCCTATCTCTCTCCAGGCCCTGGGCCCGGCTCACGCGCACCCTCCTCTCTGCTCTCTGCCATCAGCGTGAGGCGTCGGACATGCTGAAGCCCGGAGACCCCGGCAGCTCGGCTTTCCTCAAAGTGGATCCAGCCTATCTGCAGCACTGGCAGCAACTCTTCCCGCACAGCGGCGGCGGCGGTTCTCCTCCGCCTCCTCCACCCCGGCTTCCTCCTCCACCTCAGCCTCCTCCGCCTCCTCCTGCGCCGCTGCCGCCGCCGCCGCCGCGCTGGCGGGTCTCTCGGCTCTGCCCGTGGCGCAACTGCCTGTGTTCGCGCCTCTGGCCGCCGCCGCCGTCGCCGCGGAACCGCTGCCCCCTAAGGACCTGTGCCTCGGCGCCTCCTCCGGCCCGGGGCCCTCCAAATGCAGCGGCGGAGGGGATGGCCGGGGCGCTCCGCGTTTCCGCTGCAGCGCCGAGGAGCTGGACTATTACCTGTACGGCCAGCAGCGCATGGAGATCATCCCGCTCAACCAGCACACCAGCGACCCCAACAACCGTACGTAGCCGCAGCCCGCGCCCTCTCTCCAGCAGCGCTGGCGCCGTCCAGGGCGGGCGCCTGTCGGGGAGGCGGGTTGGACCAGAGGGACCCCGGGTAGTGGGCTGGTCCAAGCTGCGGGCCCGCACCTCCCAGAACACTGTGGCAAAAGTTTTCTGACGTTAGAGAATGAAGGAGAACCGATGGGGTGGCCGAGTGGCACCTCGGAGTTACCTTTTCCTCTCCCCTCATGGTCTGCTTCGCAGCCCCTAGTCTTTAGGACTCGACTTTCTTGCTGGCTGGGGCTTTCAGATCTCCACCCTCCCTCGGGACAGTGCCCTGGCGGGTCCTACGGGCAGCGCGCGAAGGAGAGTACGGAGAACGGGCCGGCCAGGCCATAGCGGGCTCAAGAGAGAGGCTTAGAGTTTCTGGAGAGCGTGGATTCCGGGGCTTGTTTCTCCTTCCTACCTTCCTTCTGCAGTTAACTGCGTCAGCTCATTTTCGAGCCGCGGGGTTGTTTGGGGAACGGCCGAGAGCTGCTGGCTGGCCTGGCCTTGCAGGAGTAGTTTTGGGTGATACCGGGTCAGTGTCTCCCCGCAGGCAGGCAATATTCTTAGGTCTAATAATTATTTTAAAAAGGAAGGAAAGAAAAAATGCCAGCTGCTTAGTGAGAAAAAATTTCCGTCTTCAGGGTAGGGGCTTTCCCTGCGGATCGATCCCACATTCTCTGTTCGCCCTTGACTCTGATACGTTCGCAATCCGTAACCACGCTTGCTAGCTTACTTACTTTAAAAAAACTGGGTGACAGTAATTTAGTATAAGAAGCTTACTGTCCTTGTCTCCCAGGTAAATGGCAAATGCCTAATTAAACATCGGGTCTCATCCAGCCTCGGTTTCTATGTTCATAATTTCAAACGATCATCGCAAGTACAGTTCCACTTTGAGATTTTCGAGCAAAGACTAAAGACTAAGAATGTGTATTGCTTTATATTTGCTTCTTTTTGGTAATTTCAAAAGTTATGACATGTTTACACATAACACGTTGGCGTAAGTTCTAAATATACTTCCAGAGACCCCTGGAGAGAATGCTAAGCCGATTAAGAGAGGCAGGTTGAAAGCAATACAGGATTTGAAAGACCAGCATTTGCTCACCATTTTCTTCCTTATATTTCTTCATCTAGCTTTTGTATGAAGAACGATGATCATAAACATTTATTATTGTTCTGTTTTGAAGTACCTCCTTGCAGAATGTTTACCGCTTAAAGAACTTCTTAATTCGTTGTAAAAGCAAAATACGTTCAGTTTATAGTTATTCGAAGGACCCCTAAAGTCATTACTTTGATGGAAAACACTGGACAAGAGCTTAGTGATTACGGTGTATTAATCTTTTCATAATGGTGGGAGATAATTGCTCTACTGGAGATAATTATTACTAACAAAAAGAACAGTTGTATTTACTGTTTTCCTTTCTAAAATGTGAGGGTAAAGTGCTGGTTTAAAATGAGAGATTCCCCTCGAATTTGTTCCACAGTTAAGAAGACGATTGTTTCAGAGTTTCAAGAAAAAAGTAAAAATTATATTGTAATGGATTTCAAAAAAGACTTACCTCCTACTGAATTTCTTGAATGTGTTGCTTTCAGAGCAGTTCTTTTACAATGTGAAATAAAAAGATAAGTGCTTTGGAGAAGGCATTTCTTACTGCTAAGTAAAGTTACAGTGGGCTGAGAGTGCTTCACCAAGTTTGCAGTTTCTCTTAATGAAATCAGTGCGGGAAAAGACACCAGCAGTGCACCCCAAAGGTCTGGATGTGTGTTTTGAACTCCTTTATACTGTTTACGAAGCAGTCTTGAGGCTCAATATATTTTCACCAGAGAAAAATCTAAACTAATCAGAGAAAGAATTGGGGTAGATTCCTAATTATATGTGGCTATTTGAACCAGTTTATTGCCTAGGTAACTTTTTTTTTCTTCTGGCTGCAGGCAATGAAGTATGATTTATTTAAATTATTCCTATTGTGTTAGTCTTCTGGTGTTTTCTTTTGAGTGAACGGACTGCTTCAATGTGCAAAATGCAGGAGAAAAGACAGGGGAAAGGAAGTCAGATTGTTCTATTAAAGTTACACTTCACTGTTGCTTCCTCATTAAAGGGCAGTTGAGAAAGAAAACAGAAAGCCGAGGTAGCTCTGTGTAATGCTGAAAGACAAGGTCTCCCATTCTTTCAGAAACTCTCTGGGCAAGCGTAGGCACTCATTTTAAACCACGGGGAGGTGTTTTGCAAAGATGAAGTGAGAAGTGATTGAGTTTAATCCAACTAGGAGTTCAAAACAAATCAAAAAGGGTGAGAAATTTTGTTTCCCTAGGCAGGGGAAGTTGGTATATTTGTTACTTGAAAGAAGGTAGAAACCAGAGCTTCTCCCCCTTCCCAGGTTGTATGTGAGGGGAATGGGGAGGAGTGGGAAAGGCAGGGAAGGGAAGCACCTCTTAATTTATTACATGTAGATTCACATATAGATTCCTCTCGTTTTTCTTTTAGTCTTTTGCCATTTCCTTCTAAAAGAACTCAGTGATCACTTAGTATTGCTCATTTTGTTACTTTGTATTGAGTCATTTTGTCTTTCTTACAAGGCAAAGAAAGGGACCTCCTTCCCTAGTTCCTATAGAAGAGTAACTTTCTGCCTGAGATCAGCAACTCAGTAACACTTGTGAATCAGTAACAGTAGTTTCACCTTGAGACTTTATTGGCACTATGGTGAATGCCATAGTTAAGGTTCTTATTGCTCTTTTCCACAAAAAGATTTTAAAAACAGTAGAAACTATACACTCCAGCCCGAGTGAGTTCTTCCAATATATTCTAGTCCGAGTGGGCTCTTCCAGTGTATTTCTGTTGTCTAACTTCATGTATTCACTTTATTCAATGGTTGAAGTACACTTTCCACTGAAGCTCTGAATGCTTAGCTGCCTCTTCTTTCATCTCTTTAAAGTCCAATGGGACAGTGTGTAATATAATTAGGGGATGGGGACCTTCTTCTTCTTGTATTACTGCCCTCATTTCCTGCCGGGTTGCTTAAAGCCATTGATTCCATCAGGTTCTGTGGCAGTGGCCTCTTCGCGGGTGCTGGCGTGTTGTTTGAGACCCTGTCACTACTCTTGGAAGGTAGTGAGAGGTGGCCACCGGGAACACCTGACTTTTGTGTTTGTGTGGAGAAGGCAGAGCCAATTAGCTTTTTCATACCTTTTTGTGAAGCTGTTCCTCCCCGGGTACCTGGCAGGGAGGCGGGAGCTAAACCCTAACCAAGTCTCTCTGCCAAGAGTCCGGACACTCAACAACTATCTCCTCCCGATCTAGGGGAGCCCTGCTACACAGGGAACAGCACCAGGAACAGCAATGGGGCACTTGCACAGGTGTACCGGTAGGGCCAGAGGCTTTCCAGTTGGTAGCCGCCACTCTCTTCAAGGGTTTGGGGAGAGAAGGAAATTTGGGCCCAAAGCTGATTCGTCTGGT